GCCGCAGCAGTATTATAATTATATTGATATGAGGCCAAGGGCCTGTTTGATGCCACGAGATGGCTTATTATTGCGCTTGGGCCGTAAGGGGCCCCTCCCGGAGTCTGCACACCCCCAGTGAGCGCCGTCGACGTTAAATAATGGAGCGGGCTGCACGGCCGCAGCGGGGTACTGGAGGTACCGGTTTATGTGTTGCATTGCATATTTAATGTTATTATTCTTCATCTGTTGTGATGTTTATTCTAACTGTATTGTTGTTTANTGTGACGTATTCGTTGTGGTTTTGGTCAGATTCGACGCGCGAAGAGGTGAATTCGAAAGGCAAGGGCATAGCAAGCTAGGACTTTGGCCGGCTTGAGGTTAGTAATAAATGTAAATGCTGTGTTGAGGGTTTGAAACCCCGAATTTGCACAACGTAGTGCTATGTGAGGTGACTTGCACGTCGGATAACGGGCGTGGGGTAGAGCACCGTCAGGGATTGTGACTTGGTCCGTCCCGCTTAATAAAATTGATACCTATTTGATTGTAGATTTGTAATATCCTATAAAAAAATGGATTAATTGTCATAATTGGGCTTCGTGCCAACTACTTGAATCCTTCAGGGATTATTTTAATGGTTTCCTACCATACTTATAAATATTAAACTCAATCCTGGCATTTAATAAATTGTTTGGAAACTCAGCCACCTTTCTTAAACTTGAAACTAAATTATTATTTTTATATAAAGTTTGGGCTGAACATTTTTATACTATCATGTGAATTTGGACTGAGTATGGGATCGGGTTGCACGCCGCAGTAGTATTATAATGATATTGATATGAGGCCAAGGGCCTGTTTCATGCCACGAGATGGCTTATTATTGCGCTTGGGCCGTAAGGGGCCCCTCCCGGAGTCTGCACACCCTCAGTGAGCGCCGTCGACGTTAAATAAATGGAGCGGGCTGCACGGCCGCAGCGGGGTACTGGAGGTACCGGTTTATGTGTTGCATTGCATATTTAATTTTCATTTATTTCTTCATCTGTTGTGATGTTTAATATAACTGTATTGTTGTTTAAGGGTATTATTAGCTTTACTTTGTGTTTATTTAGGATTTCTTATCCTCAGACCTTATTTATATTTATTACTTTCTGAGTTGGAAGTACTCACAATACTCCTTGCACCTTGTGTGCAGATCCAGGTACACCAAAGGGTGAGTGAGGACTTGTTAGCTGAGCGGCAATTATCTGGGAGTGTCGAGGTAGCTGCATGGCGTTCGCACCCTTGATCTCTCCCTTCTATCTTTTATTATTTTATTCGTATTATTTTTCCTAGTCGGACTTGTAATAGGTGAATAATCTGCTTCTAGAGGCTCATGTTCGTGACACCAGATTCTGTGGGTTGATTAGTACCTTGTTTTCATTTTGGTGTTTTCGAATGTTAGAAATTATTTCAAAAATTCCGCACTAAATTGGTATTTTAATAGTGAATATTTATTCATCTATCTAGATTTATTGGCTAAGGTTGTGTAAAAGGTCGGGCTTGCCTAGCAATGTGTTGGGCGCCATCACGACCGGGGTTTGGGTCGTGACAGTTGGACGTGCCAGTTGCATCATAATGTAGGTGCATGAGGGTAAAAGAGGGGAGGGGGTTCTTCAAAATACAAGATTGGGTGTGGGGTGATCCTGTGTTTGATTTTCCAAATTTTGCCAATGCGTCCACAACTCCATTTCTTTCTCTCGTTGCGTGGTTGAGTCGTTGTATGTTGAGTTCCTGGATCATTGACCTGCAAGATGTTATGAGTTGTAAGTATCTTGGGCTTCCAGTTTGAAGTATCTGAAGTAATACCTGCGAGTCTGTTTCAACAATTAATGGTCAAAGTCTTCTATTTGCAGCAATTGCCGGTCCATGGTAGAGTGCCAGTAGTTCAGCCTGTAGGGCATTTGTACTTCGTAAATGTGTTGCAAAGCCGTAGATCCATTGTCCTGTGGAGTCGCGAAAAACTCCTCCTACTCCTCCGTTGTGATTTGTTGGGTCATAAGCCCCGTCGATGTTGAGTTAAATATGTGGTGACTGTAGTTTAGCCCAAGGGGTAATTTCTCTCTTAGCCTTAATTTTTATATTAGGGATATTTGTTAAATAGTAGACTTGAGATGCTAGAGAGATGATTGTGGTGGTGTCTATTAGGTAGTTTTGATTTTTGAAATGGTTATTATTACGGTTTAGCCAAACTTGCCACAAGAGGATGGGTGTTAAGATGAAAGATGGTATAGAGTGCTGGAGTTTAATTGGATTGGTGTATGTGAGGTACAGAGCTTGTGTAACCAGTGCATGAGATTGGTTGTTGGTGTTTTAATACGGAGGTGGCGCCACAAGGTGCTTGATGGTTTGCAATGTTAAAAGATGTGTGGGATATCCTCTCGGATATTAGTAGAATTCAGGTAGTATGGGTTATTAGTGATGTTTTTGTAGCATAGAAGTGATTTGGTTGGAAGTTTCTCATGTGAAAGAAGCCATAAAAAATATTTTATTTTTGGTAGTGTGGTTAGTTTCCAAATCCAAATGTTGGGGAAGTTATTTTATGGTGAGTATCTTTATGTAGTATATATAGGTAGGCAGAGAAAGTGGTAAATGAACCATCATTTGAGTGGTGCCAGTAGGATGTATCTTCTCCTTGTTGGGTTGTAAGGATGGGTGTGTTTTGTATGAGGGACATGATTTGTGGGGGCAATAGAAAGGAGAGATTAAGGTGTCCCGGGTGGAGTGTGAGATGAGATGTGCCACTGGTTTATGTAGTTCGTGTTTAGGGATAGGTCCCTGGATTAGGTGTCTAAGAGATAAGTTATTTTCAATCCAGTGGTCAGACCAAAGGTTTATGTTTTTACCATTAGTTATGTTCCAACTGGTTCCTGTGCGACAATAATTGATTTTTTTGATCATGCTTTTTCAAATGTAGGAGTCGTTAGGGTGTGTTTTTTGATTATATAGAAAGTTTTTTGAATATTCTTATGGATGGCCATATCTTGCTGATAGGATATTTGCCCAAGGAGAATTATTGGAGTGTGTGTAACGCCAAAGGAGATTTGTTAGCAAGGCTTTATTCTTGTGGGATAGTTTTTGCATTCCCAAGCCCCCTTCGGATTTTGGAGTGGTGATCCTGTCCTAGTTTATTAAATGCAATTTACGTTTTTGATCCGTTGATCCCCATAGGAAATTGCGTTGAATTTGTTCTAGTTTGTGTATTAATTTGGGTGGTAGTAGATTAATTTGTATCGCGTATGTGGGAATTGTGTTTAGGACTGATTTGATTAGGGTTGTCCTTCCCGCTAGGGAGAGAAATTTTGATTTCCAGCCAGATAGTTTGGAGGTGGCTCGATCAATAATGTATTGGTAATCCGCTGTTTTAGGTTGGTTATGAGTGATTGGTACTCCTAAATATTTGCATATGTTTGTGGTAATAGGGATATTTAAGGAATTTGATATCACTTGGCTAAGGGTAGGGTTTACATTAGCTGAGAAAAGAAGTTTTGATTTCTGGAAATTGATTCTTTGTCCAGATTTTGCACTTAATTGTTGGAATATATCAATTATTATTGCAGTATTGGAAGTGGTTGCTTGTGCTAGTAGGATGAGGTCATCTGCAAACATGAGGTGGGAGAGTGGTTGAGCATTTCTATTTAGTTGTATGGGGGTCCACCGGCAAATGTCTACATTGTGCTCAATAATGCGAGATAATGATTCCATACATATGATAAATAAGTATGGTGATAGTGGGTCACCTTGTATCTAGAGGGTCGAAAGAAAGGAATGGGTGTTCCATTGATAATTATGGATACGGAGAAAGTTGTAACACATGACATTATGAGGTTAATTAAGGGTTGCGGAAATCGTAAGTGCTGTAGGGAATAACGAATGAAGGACCATTCTAATTGGTCAAAATCTTTTCGAGGTCAATTTTTATCAGCATATTTCCTTTTTTACCCTGTTGTTTTTTAAAAGAATGTATGATTTCTTGTATAAGGATGATGTTGTCAGCTGCCTTACGGCCTTTTAGGAAGCTGCTTTGAGTTGGATTGATTAATTTGGGAAGAAGAGGTTTGATTCTATTAACAATAATTTTAGTAATGATCTTGTATATGGTATTGCATAGGCCAATTGGTCTGTACTGGTGTATAGATTCAGGAAAGTTAGTCTTGGGGATGAGAATTATTATTAGTTTTATTTATTTCGGGGGGAATAGTGGATGTATGGAAGGCTTGTTGGCAGGTGTGTATTACTGCTTGCTTTGTTTTCAATTAAAATTTTTGGAAGAAAATGGGGTGCAGTCCATCCGGGCCAGGAGCTTTAAGAGGTTTGAATGAGTTTACTGAATTTGTGATCTCTGAAGTGGATAAGGGTCTTTATAATGCTTGGATGTCATCATTTGTGTGTGAATTTGAGAAGGTAGGAATAAATTATTTTGGCAATGTGTTAATTGAGTAGTAAAAAAATCTTGGTAGCACTACAAGAAAAACTGCCTTTAAGGAAGGGAAATATGGTCCCTAAAGATCCAAATCTGGTCCTAATAAATTAATTGCGACGGGAAAAAGCTAGTCGCCACCCGTCGCAATAGCTTTCGCCACTAAAGGTCAACAACGACGGTTCTAAAAAATTGGTCATTAAAGTGTTTTAGAGACGAGAGAAAAAGCTAGTCGTTAAATACTTTTAGAGACAACATATCTCGTCCCTAATAGGCCATTAACATATTATTCCAATATATATTTTCTGGTCGTGAAATAATATTAGAGACCAGCCTTTCCGTCCCTAATAGATGATTAATATATTATAAAAAATATATATTTTCCAGCCGTCAACACTTTTAGCGACTAGAATTTAACTGGTCGTAAATTATATTTTAGAGACGAGACTCACTGGTCTCTATTTAAAATAACTGTAGTAACTTTAAGGACCGTATTTCTGGTCTCTTATTAACCACATATAGTCCTAAAACTCGATGTCACAAAAAATTATTTTATAAATAAATATCAAATTGCTACTAAAAAGTCTTGATATAAAAAGATATTAATTACAATGTTAACATCCCATGATGTTAGTTTCAATATTTACTCAACACCTTAACAAAAAAGCTTAGCTAACATCTTGCGTTAGACAACAATATCAAGTTTTACATAATATTCCTAGCAAAGTAATAATGAGCTTGTATATCTTCCAAACTTGCATTCTTGTAGCTTCAATCTTCAAAACCTGTAAGTACAAAATTTTGAAAATACGATGAATAACTATTAGTAAAATAATATATGTAAAATTACATTTGCAAGAACATAACTAATACAAACATTGGCATGTTAACCATTTTGGCACATAATGGTCTGGAAATTTGTCCATACGTGTCCTGAAAAGGCCTAGGTAAAGTAAAACGAAGTCACGCATATATTTTTTCTGATAGAAAATTTAACCTACAATATAAGTTCAACTCTGCAATTAGAAATCTCTACATAGTACATAATTGGTGGTTTGGTGCTATCATTCAGCATCATTTATCATAACGTGGTGCAAGTGTCATTTGTCACTTATTGACAAAATAGAAAATAGTGGAAACTCTCCTCGTCAACTCTTCAGAATCTAAGTTTGTAATGTTAGCAGCATCATAATATGTAAATGAGTCACTATAAGACAGCTTTCAGAAGAAGTACGTTGATGGTGTGAACCATCTTTAGATTTTGAAATGCCTTTTTGGGTGAAAATGCACTTCTATCCATCTAAAAAAAATGCACTTTGATCTGTACCTTTACTCCACTTTGATATGCTTACAGGTGATTACTTCTATCAAAAGTTTTAATGTCTTAATTATATATAATACCTATCTGACCCAACAAGTGGACAATTGGACAAAAGTGCATGTCAAGCAGCCCAAAAGTTTAAAGAAAAAGTATGTGTGTCCAGAATCGTTATACAGGCAGCACATGGATGCTTCAAAGAAGCTCCTGACCCCAGCTAATGTAATAGGAAATACAACAAATCAGACTAAACACGAAATGAACGCTTATTTAAAGAGCAGGCAATAAAATGGATTTAGTAAAGCATATACTTCTATCACCAAAACACTTGACGCATTTTAACCACCTAATACTATGGATTTGCACTTAAAGAACTAACAGAATTCAGCCTTCTTTATGCTTTTTTCCTTACAATGTGGCAAGTCTTATCTCTTTCCATGGTGAACAGAAACTTGGGCACACGAGTCTTGGATCAATGATAATAGAATTAGTTGTGATAAAAGAATCCCAATACATATGGTATAGTGATGGGATTTCTTCTGTTTACTCATAGTTTACTCGCTAGTAAAATCAAACAACTGATATAATCTATAAGATAGAAATGACTATATGCAAATCAACAAAAAAAATTAAAAAGTAATGTATATTATTACTAACTTGGCCAGCAGACAAAAATAGTGGTCATTCAGTTGAAACGGGCGATGTCGTAGGCGAGACATGTGATTGTTGAGCAGCGAATGATTTCCTTATTTTCTTCATTTCTTTCATCTCATCTTCTAAGGTAGACAAGCGGTCCTGTAATGATTATTTCCTTANACCCTTTACATCAAAGGCAAACATGTCAAAAAATACCTCGTAAATATTTTCTTTAAGAATATAGATATTTTATCATAGTACCTTTTGATAAATAATCTCTCGAATAGGTTTGCTACCAATATGATGAAGCATCTTCAACTTAGCTCGGTTTGCTGCATTCCTATTGCTTCTTGCCTTTGTAAAATAATAAGCTTAAATATAATTAATGTAATAAATTTAAATAGTACACTTAGGTTTGATTCCAAGTATAGCGGAAAAAAGATATTTGGTGTCAGGGAAGGAATCAGACAGCAGATGCTTTGGCAAAATAGACTATTAAATCACTGGGCATACCTGAAAACTTTCTGATGAAAAATGTTCCTTTACTAACCACTCCCATTCTTTCTTATCTACTCCCTTTGGAATATTCTTAAGAGCATGTTGGATTGGCTTATCCTTCACATATTTTGCATGTAAGTGTCCTCTCCATTTATTCCATAACTCTTTCATCCATCCAAGATATGATTACGATAATCATTCATGTCAACACTCTCAAATTTATCCTACAATAATCAAAGTATTGGTTGATTAAATGCATCGAAAGATACTATCAGCAAAGTGATACAATTCTGAATTCCTCTTCAGTTATGAAGCTACCATGAAGCCTTTTCAGTAAAAACATAAAAAGAGAACGAAAAATAATTCACCTACATTGCTACACTTTTTGCAAGAAAGTAAAGAAGATAACTTCTCCTAGCTTTCAAGACTTCCAGGTTTCAAGTACTATTTTCAACTAAGACTTGAATTTCCTCTTGGATGATGCTCACACCATAGCTATTCAACTTTCCCAGTCCAAATAAAGTTTCACAATCAAGGACTCATTCAAACAATTATTAAACTCAACTCTCAGTTAAACAAATAACTTAGAAACTCAATCAAGGATTGAGATCACAATTGGCAGCAACAACTGAAACACAAATGAAGTTCTTTAAAACTTACAATAGCTATGACAGACTTCAGCTCAATACACATAAATCAAGAAACTGAAATCGCAATTAAAAAATCTAAACACATTCATCGGAAAAAAGACTTAAAAATACTCAAAATGTACAAACATACTCTTGACTATATTTGTTACCTCAATAGCCGCCCACATATGATTTAACTTTTCTTGCTTAATATCATTCCACGATGATACTCCCAACGGACACATACCGCGATTATGTACAGTTCTGCCCAAGTTCTAAAACATCTTTAAAAAGAAAGTATGTACCAGATTTTTATTTTTTGAACAGATGAAAATGAATAGTAGACTTGCAATCCTTCATTTTTTGAACATAAAAAATGAAAATCTTTTTCAGATGTAAAATACATACGCCAATATCTTTATTTCATTACAAGCAACAATGAATTGCAATTTTCCCAGATGGTATCTCATTACTGCATTTACATTCAGAGTAGGTACTGATAAAATAAAAGAGAAATCAATACACTAATATTTATGCTATAGGATATGTCACTAACCATTACTCAAACAACCTGTTGCTAACTCCTGCTCTATGTAGATGCAAACCAGACAAGGTTGCAACAGTAACTTTGGTATCACCTTCTTCTCAATTGTAGGTCAATTAATAAGCTTTTACATATTCTCATTCATGAAATACAGCATATCTTTAAGCTAAATTCTTTCTCGTTGTCTTTCTAAGATTCTCTAAGCATAATATTTTTTTACAAGCCACTAGGTATCACTAAACACAATTTTAGCAATTCAAGAAGGTGCTTTCGGCACTCTTCTATAGTACACAATCCACACTGCTACTAACATGGATTAGTTAAGTGGGGAAGGCAGAAACACACATCAACGAAGCAAAAGAAGGCAATTAAAATCTGCCGCAGAGAATGCAGAATCGCAATTTTAAATCAACTTCAGAAAATTAAATTATCAAATTAGGAATCCCAACCCAATAATCTTTTCACTGATTATACAAAAGAAAAAAATACCAAAATATGAAACCTTACCATTTTTTTAATGTCATAGAAGAAGAAGATCGGAGAACTCGAATAAGCGAAGCAATCGGCGAAAAATAGCAACTTGAAAGAGGGGCATACCACAGATTCTCAAACGAGCGAGATGGAAACTTGGGCAGATTCACACACAACCAGATTTACAACTTATGTTTTGAGAAAATACAGATAAAGGACAAGGTCAGAGCTCGGCGGAATACTAGGGCAGAGCTGATGCGCGCGCGATTTGTGTTTAGAGAATACAGAGAGTTTCTTTACTTTTTAAAAAATTTCATTTCAATTTATTAGGTTTGGTGCCTGATTTTTCAGAAAATAATGTAGAGTAATATTTTGGTATTAGATTTGGCGGCACACTAATGCCCCTCAATTATAATTTGGGACCAGTTAATAATTTTTTTAGGGACCAGATTTAGTAAGCATTAAGGACCGCAATATAATCTTGTCCCAATAAATATATTTTTTGCGACGGGATTATTAACTCGTCCCTAAAAGTTGGTCGTAGATAAGGCTTTTTCTTGTAGTGTAGTAATTACGGATTGTATCACGAATAGTGTGGATGTCAAAAGTCCAATTTCCTAGTGAATCATGGAGACTTAGGATTCTATTTTGTCTACGTCTTATTATTGTGGAGAGGTAGAAGTGGGATATATTAGCATCTCCGTCGTTAAGCCATTGGACACGTGATTTTAATTTCCAATATTCCTCCTCTATTCGAAGTAAGTTATTGAAATCCGTGATTAGTTGATTTTCAAGATTATAGTGGAAAGAGTTTTTGTTTCCTGGTTGCATATTTTGAAGTCCTTTAAGTCGGGCAATTAGGATCTTTTTTTTGTAAAAGATATTCCCAAAAGTGTGGATGTTCCAGTGATTAGCTAGGTCTATGAAGTTGTGTAGGCCCTTAGAATAATCGTTTTCGTCTAGCCAAGTGTTTGCTACAACATGTTGGAATTGAGGGTGTTGTAGCCACATCGTTTCAAATTTGAAGGTTGGAGTAGGTTTCGGACAATTAAATTTTTCAATGTGCATCTTATAGTTATTGATTTAAAGATGAGAATATGAAATTTTCTGTCTGAATAATACACCTTTGGCTAAAAATAAGGTTACAATACAAAAGAATTCCTTTGAGACTGCAAATGATATTACATCCAACGAGACTCTGTACAGTTATCATCGGTATTCCTAGCAAGAAGTATTGATACCTTACTTACTGCAAGACCAATGTACGATCGGAGGCAGAGCCATGACATGAAGTTTATGGATTCGAAATTCTAATCATTTTAAACTATTTGGTTTTAAATTAATAAATTCAATGAATTTTTAAGATAAATACAGGACTTGAATCAAATTTACTAGGTTCGGCAGCCAAAGCTAGCTTCGCCACTGTGTAGAGATACGTGTTTCACACATCAAGCAGTGATCATTTGCTCATGTACATCCAGTATTATCACTGTCATTCTGGCCCTGATAGGGTTTTGCATTGCTTTTGCAGACAACATTGTGGTTCTTAATTGACTTTTGAGACTGGAGAGGGTCCCTGTATGTCTATGTATTTTTGCCGATGGCTCAACTTCTAACTTAATTGATCCTTGAAAAGGTGACTTACAATTTTTCCTCATCTGTCAACAACTAGTTGCTAACTCACGATGTACTCTTAGTCTAACTACTGGCATCGATTAATTTATTCATGTGCAAGAAATGCAATGTTCTTGTCTTCCTATAATTGTGATAGACAAAACATTGGCTTCTGTATAAATTCACTTTGTACATGAGCGATTGACAGTGAATAAAAGACATCATTGCTTGCTCCAATTTACACTAAGTCATTAGTTTCTCTCATGAAATCCGACCTTACCTTAGCCTCGATCAATTCTAAATTAAAAATACCGCTTCACATTAAAAACTAGAGCATTGCATTCCAGAACCCGGGGCAGAAGCAGAATTTTCACCAAGGGATCCAAATATAAAAAAAGTAGACACGCAAAGTAGCTAAGAGGATTCAACATTTAATGTATATACATGGGAAAAAAATTTAACCTTATATACACAGCATAATTTTCGGCGAAGGGAGTTCCCTTCAGCCCACCTAGCTCCGCCCCTAGTTATTCAGTGGCATAGCCACATAAAGTGAAGAGTGTTCAGTTGAACACCCTTCATCGGAAAATTACATTAAATATATAAATCAAAAATTATTTCTTATAAATATATATTAAATTTTGAAGTAAAATTTCTGGCTTCGCCACTAGAAGGATTTTAGTTATATCTTATTATATTTTGTTTATAACTGATCAAGCTTATCAAATATAAATTGAATAGGACTTTGAGTTTATCGTGGACTTTAGGGCCTGGTTGAAGAACTATCTGGTGCTTTTTGTGATTTAAAAACTCCAACTCTTGTGACCATATTTTCTACAACGTATTGCATTTTTATACAACAATTAAGAGATTTTTTCCTTCCTATATCATATATGAAACCTTATTACAAAAAATGTGCATAGTTTCATATTTATCCGCCATGTTCACAGTTATTCTACAAATATTATACAATTCATTAAATACCAATTATTAGGAGCTGATTCCTTCCTAATTAGGCGCGCTACAAATCTGGAACTAAATATTCTTTCAGATATTCCTATTTAGGCGCGCTACAATTATGGAAGTAAATATTCTTCTAGATATTTCATTAAATAAGGAATCATTGTAGCATTAAAATTCTTCTGTAATTCAAAAACGAATTGATTGTTCTTCTACAATTCAAAAACGAATTGATTATTCTTCAAATTCACAAATCAAAAACGACTAAATCTTCTACAGTTCTTCTACATCAAACACAATTATGTCCAAATTTCAGTAATACAAAGCAAAGGAAAAGAGAGCAGCAATTCCACCATTGACAGCCATTAAAAAGCTTGAAAGCTTGGAATTCAAATTTGGGTTTTCAAAAATCATTATTTGTTTGGATTGGGTGTTGTTGAAAATAATTGGGAATATGGTTTGGAGTTTATATCTCAATTTTGAGGGGTTTTGGTGAAGATTAGACTTGGTTTTGACTGAATTTCAGATTGAAACTCGAAGAAGAAGAAGAAGAAGAAGAAGAAGAAGAAGAAGAAGAAGAAGAAGAAGAAGACGTATATTGCAGAAATTGTAGAAAAATTGTAGATAAATTGAAGAAAATTGTAGATTTTCAACATAGATTGTAGTTTAATTGTAGTATAAATGTAGTAATTATGTAGATACCCTTACAAATAATACTGCTTTATACATACTTAAACTGATTTGTAGTATATTTGTAGAATTTTTGTAGAAAATTTGTAGATGAAGAGAAAAATTTTGTAGTCAACATTTTTTCAACATAATTGTAGTTTAATTGTAGTATAAATGTAGTAATTTTGTAGATAATTATGAAAATAATATTGCTTTATACATCCTAAAACTGATGTGTAGTTTATTTGTAGATAAATGTAGGAATTTTATCGATATTACCGTAAAATCAGACTTCCATAGAATTTGAAATATATGTGGCATAGGAATGTAAAAAACTCTTTTATTTATTTCAAATTCGGATCAATCCAACTGTAACTACTTCATATTTTTGTTGTATCAAATGTGTGTATAAAGTGTGCGAAATTAAGAAACTCAGATTACAAATAGAAAAAGTAAAACAGAAGTAAAAATAAGAAATTTTTCAATATTATATTATGAAAGACGTAACAGTCATAATGCCCCACTTTAATTTGAGGACAAAAATTTCAACTTAGTTTTAACTGTTTCTGGCCATATGGACAAAATGACTGCAGCAAGGCAAAATGGCCTCATGGGTAAACAATTTTAGAGAAATTTCCACACCCATACACCATCCGAAAATCAGTAGCCCAATTTAGAGAATGGAGAAGACCGTCAACGACGGCGAAGATGTATTTAGTTCTAAAGAATCCGATGCTTCCTCTGCCGATCATCTTGTTATGGGTAAAATGTGGGTGGGGCTGGGGGGTTAGGAGAGAGAAACGTGGGATGAGTGGGGATACTTATCTATACAGATTTCTTTAATTAAGGAGTAAAAAAGGTACAATTAATTATACCCTTAATTAATTATGGTATAGAATTGGTAATTTGGTATACTAAGTGTAATTAAGTCAAACCTTAAACATTGAGGGTAATAAGGTTTCCTATGTGGCATAGGAATGTAAAAATTCCATTAAAATCCGGTGTAATTTTATAAGTGGGGTCTGTGAAGGATAATATATATGTAGACCTTACTCTATTTTGAAAAGATAAAGAAATTATTTCCGATAAGCAAGACTACACATTTTTTTTATGTGTAAATAAACTTCTATGTTAAGAGAAAGTGTTCAATATTTATAAAATAAAAAATAAAAATAAATAAATAAATAAATAAGCCATAGAGGGAAGCAGTCAATGGCAGTCAACAGGGCACTTCACCAATATCGTTATTTTATTTGTCGTTTCTTCATGGATATTCATTTTTCCTAGTTACACCTTATGTAACATGGTTATACATTTAACTAGCAGACTGTCATTATGAGTATATGTATGATACTGACTTGCTTTTAATCTTCATGATTTCTCTTTTTTCTTTAATTAAAAAAAGAAAGAAAAGAGTTGAGATCTCATAGAGTGAACAACGATAGAAAAAATCGAAGAAATTAGCAGACACCTATGCCTCTCAAATGTACAAAAGTAGGGAGTAGCTGCAAATATTCAATTACTCTCTCAGTATATCAGTTTTGACAATTCCATAGAAGTAAATACAAGTCATTAATGATTCCACCGAAAATCGTACAATCTTCAACCATAAAACTTTATTACTGCATTAAACAAATATTACCTAAGATTTTTTTGCGCAAGATATATATCGATGCTAAATAGAACTATTTCCTTAAATACACCACTACTGCTGTTATAAACTTTGTCACTTTTTTTTCTTTTTCTTGGGACTGGTACATGGACATTTCAAACTTGGATTTTTCTAGATTGATTTGCCGAGATGATAGTGAGGCACAGGTAGAAAATAACCCCAAGAAAACCGAATATAATACTCTTTATAACTTTATGACAAAATTTGGGAACAGAATCACAAATTGGCATCCACCCTGACTGATTTTCTCCATATTTTCCCACAAATCCAATTGTAGTTGCTGCTGCAGTTCCAGCCAGCAATAGTGCCATCAAAATCTGTCATCACCGAACATACTTCAAATTTTTTAAGAATATTATGTTTCATATTTTATGGACAGCAAAAATTAATATAGCTAACCTTAACTTATTTAGGGGCAATGTATGCTAAAACTATGTTTTGGATGTGGATGGCGTGAATAAGATAGGTAAAGTGCAATGCTTATGGTCCCAAAATAAATAAAGTGAAAATAGTGGGGAAAAATTAATATTGCCCCTTTTATGTCAGCATTCTTCAAGTATGCATTTCTCTATCTTGTGATTATTAGGAGAATTTTCTAAAAACGAAAGTTGACCATTGTTAGTATCCTATATTTGTAAAATAATTCTGGAGAATATAAAATAACGTATAAACAGAAATGAAAATTATAAATAAAATTTAATCCGAGCCCACTGAATTCACAGTGTTTCCTTAAGGAATTTAATCCCCTCCTAGTACCCAAGGTTGTGGATTATTTCCTCCCAGGATCGAACAAATTACATACTGGTGTAGCGGTACTTCAAACCCCAGTGTTTCAGCGAACAAAGATCAGTAGCAAATCACACTTACTGTTGCTTTCTTAGAAGTTAAAACAATACAGAAGAAAGGAGGAGAACTCAGAAATTCGTATGGAAAATCTGAGAGAATGGACTGTTATTTATAGCCAATGTTGAGCTCAAATTGAAGAAGTGCAATTCTTCAGAAAGGCTGTTTGCGTAAAATGGCCATAACATAAATGGATATTTACACAACAATAAACCGTGAAGATAAAACGCGCGAAGGAAACTTAATTTCTCCGTTACAAAAACAGAAAACGGACACTTTATTTTTCCGTTGGATCTAATATTAATTTTTCCTTTACAAAAACGGATATTTAATAATATTATGCTAATATTTACTATCAACAGAAGGCGAAGCCGAAGCCGAGCGACGACGGCGCGAGGCTTGCCTTCTTCTTAACTCTTTAAGAGCTAAAAGAAGAGCAATTGTATATATACCCATCAAAAACATTTTCCTCTTCCAATATGGGACAATGCCCCTTTGTCAAGGAGGAAATCTCAAATGAAACTCAAATATTTTATTTTTCCTCCATTTCTCATTCACCCTCTTTTACGCCTATTTTAGCTTAAAACCTCAACAATCCCCCACTGAATGGGGAATGGCTATATCACGGAAATATGCATGAAAAACTGTGTGAATTGCAAGCAAGGATTAATTTTTGTTTCTGATTTTTATTTCTATTTATACGTTATTTTATGTTCTCCAGAATTATTTTACAAATACAAGATACTTACAACCATAGCATCTAGAAAAATGTATGATAATGATGTGTTAGATGGAAGTCACATAAGGAATAAAGAATGAACTTAGAGACAAATAACGTGTTATATCTATTACGTAAAGCTACAAACTTGTTAATATATGGAAATTTTAGATCCTAAGACTCGGCAAGAAAGGTACGTTCTCCTGACTTCCCCAACCCTATACTAAACCAAGAGAAAGATAAAAAAAAAATTATTTTATCCTTATAATTAACTATTTATTCCTCAAATTATTTCCTAAGACTTTTGGAAATACTATGGATAAAATAGTAAAATATATACTTTATTTATTTTTTCTTAAAGGAAGTGCAAAATCAAAAGTAAACAGAGGGAGTATATCTTTCCATCTCACTAAATTCCAATTCGGATTTTTTTTTACTGCAATTTTGTAAATGAACAAACACCTTCAATAGTACACGCAAGCAGATGAAGTCATAAGAGTTAAACTTGATGAATTCAATTTTTAAGGTGCTTAGATTACTTATTGGATGTTCAAAATTACAGCTTCATAATATAATATTTGTTGACATTTTAGTTTTTTTTTTTTTTACCTGTATACCTATATTTCGTGTTTTGAAAATATTTTGTTATGGATAAAAGGAAACTCAAGATTCCAAAATTGCTTCATAAAAATAAGTGACTTATAAATTATTCAATATTAAAATGGTTACTGATAAGGACCAAAAAAAAAAGTAGTACGTACCATATCATGGAGGAACACGTAAAAATAGTTCTTTGGGTGAAGACCCTTACGAGAAAAGATGGAAACAAGAAACAGTGACAAAATAGAGAAGGCACATCCAATAATATTTGCATAGGCAAAAAACCTGCAGATATATTAGATACATAAACAAGAGCCTCACTAGATTAAAATATTAGGACTAATTAAAATAAAGCCAAAGATTTAAGTAATTAAAGATTTGTTTCATTTACTTGAGAGCTGAAGAATAGCTATAGCGAGCATCCATCTCAGTATTAAAAACATGGACAGTTTCCTTGCTGGTAAACATTGAGCAAGCAGCAGCCAATGTGAATGCAGCGGCCAAAACCCTCAACAAAATCTGGGTTCTAATGAAGCATTTGTCAGATATCATATGTGGGCTTTCTATAGTTTTGGTTCCAAAGCTATTCATCTTTTGTTTGAGTCTGTTCCTACTGAAAATGCAAAGAAGAAGAAGAAGAAAATGAGCAAATATGGAGAATTGTAGTGGAATAGTAGATGTTGGTTGTGGTATTTATTTATAGAGGGAGAAGAGTGGGGAGGGGTCGTTTTTAGTACATGGATCACTACAAGGCCGTGAAAAGAGCAACACATCAAAGCAGAGGCGGATTCAGTTCAATAGCTACGGGTTTCGTGAACCTAGTAGCTTTTGTCTAGAACCTGTATTTCTATTGAAATATTCATTAAATATATAAGAATATTTAGCTTGGAAAACAGTCCATTCATTAAGTTAATATTGTATATTAGCTCAGATTTTTGTAGGAACCCATAAACCTAAAATCCTGGATCCGCCTCTGCATCAGAGGGTAGTTTAGAGCCCGTTTGGACATAAGAATTTTTTCACTTTTTTTCGAATTTTTTTACTTCTTTTCGAAATCAGCGTTTGGTCATAAAATTTTCAATTTTCACTTGAAGATGAATTTTTGAATTTTTCAAAAATTTTAAAAACTCCAAAAAGCTATTTTTCAAAATTTTCACTCATATTACTCACAAAACTTCAAAAACAACCCAAAATTATATTCATGTCCAAACACAACTCTAATTTTCAAATACCATTTTAACTTGAAAAAAATTTCACTTTTTTTTTGGAATTTTACAATTTTTATGTCCAAACGCCCTAAGTTATATGCACTGACAAAGAAATACTTGTTTTTATTTAAAGTCAACGATGTATATTATTTTAACTCTTTGAATACCTTCACTTTTTTTAAAGTTTCAAAGAATAAGTGCTGAAAATCATTTTAAGGGTTAGAAGTTGATTTCATAAATAAATAATTATGTGTTATAATAAAATCATTGAAACTGATAATAAATTGTAGATGTGCTAGGACTAAAAAAGAAGATACTGATAAGCACTTTTGATGTTAAATAATTACCCTCAAAATTATTTACATAAGTATAAACTATAAAGTAATTTTATAAGGAGAAGGTTAAAGTCCGGTGCATTGAGCTCCCGCTATGTGTGGGGTACAGGAAAGGGACGGACCACAAAGGTTATTGTACGCAGCCGGACTCCGCATTTATAAGGAGAATGTTTATTAAATGAAATGAAGATCGGTTTATGAGTTATGTTTTGAGTGTATTTCAGGAATTACAAAAGAAATTAGAGATAAAGTAGTAAAAATTTGATCGAACCGAAAGTATTTATAAGCTGAAAAATTGTAATTTAGAGGTGATCAACTTGTGTTGATTTTAGCTTATAAGCAATTTTAATAAAAACCAAACATATAAATAAGCCTAAAAGTCATTATAAGCTTACCTCATGAACATCTTCTAAATAAAACGAAATGAAAGATTTAGTGGGGCCTCGGTACGATCTGTAAGCATAAACTTTAATCCACACCAGAATCTTGATGATAATCTTACATAAAATTGTTATAGAAAATATATCTAAAGCGGAAGCCATTATCACAAAGCGGAAGCGTTAATTGAAATCGGTTTCTCGCCCCTTGCCCTATCTTTCGTTACCGCCTCTTGCTATCTTTTATTACCGCCTTCTTTAGTGATGAAGAGAGAAGATAAAATACGGCTAATGGGTGCGGAGAGGACCAGTTTATAGAGTTTCTCACTTAATCCAGTACGTCCATCAAATAACCGATTAGACGGATAAAATTTACTCATTAATTAAATATTAATTATGGGCCTTAAACTTATTGGGCTACTGATACGTAGAAAAATCTTACACAATCGATATATTAGCCTTCTCTTCCCGACCAGACTGGATACAAATTTTTTGCATCAATTACATATCAGTAGTTACTCGTAATGTTCTGCCTCATGTTCACTATCTATTTTTGGGGAAAAAAGTATTTGCCAACGAGGAGTGTGGTATGATAGTTGAAATCTCTTCACTTTTAATCGAATGTATTAAGTTTGACCTCTAGAAATAAAGAACTTTTTAGTATTCAATGAGCACTTCATTTCCTAAGTGGACTTACACGATGAGGGGTGGGTATCGGTCAGTTCGGTTCGGTTGTGAATATTATCGGTTCTTCAGATCGGTTATCGGTTTATAAATATACTAAAACGATAACCGAACAGATAAGATATCGGTTATCGGGTATCGGTTAGTCGGTTATCAATCCTTATTGGTTTACCCGATAAGAATAAAAACTATCCAAAAATTTATTATAGAAATCGTGATCATACTATTAAGAGAAAGAAATTGAATTTTTGCTCTTAAGAGAAGAGGCATTAAATTTCAACTTAGAAAATAAAACTTTCTTTGCATTTGAAAATCCCAATGAATGATCTCAATTTTCAAAGTTATAAGTTAATAGGTGTAAGGGATAAGACATTCAACAATCTAATCTTACTAACTATCTCTCTGCGGGCGGGCATAATTCATAAAAAAATAATAAAATCCTAATCTTGTAAATACTAAAGAATCAGTGCAACAAAAGAAACAAATAGAAAAACTAAAAATTTGAACAATTAATTCTCTAACGTTTAAAACTAAAATTCTAATTGAAAAATTAAAATGAGAAATTCCGAAAAGTTTAAAACTTACTCTAAGGATTAAGGTCAGAAGATGAAGAGTAACTACCGAGAGAATTGAGACAATGAAGCCATAAGGTGGTTTTATATACTTAGTGGATAAAATTATAATTTTGATAAAGCTTATTGGGCTATCGGTTAAACCGTTAATAAAATTGGACAAACCGATACCCGAACCGATAACCCATAAGTCAAATAACATTAAACCGTTATCGAACTATTTACCTAATAACCCGATACCGATAACCCAATAGCATTTTATCGGTTCGATTTATCGGTTATACCCGATATATGCCCAGTCCTACGATGCATTTCGGATTACTTAGACCAATTGATTTTAAAAAGAAAGCAAAATAAAAGGAAAAAAAATTGTTTATCTTTTTTGGGGGCTCGGAAGAATATTAGCATGTTTGGCCAAGCAGTAAAAATTAACTTATTTTGAGAAGTACTTTTTCTTAAAAGTATTTTTCTCAAAAGTATTTTTGGTGAAAAGTAGTTTCAGTGGCGGATTTAGAATTTTTAAATCATAGGTGCTGAACTATTATTTATCTAAAAATTAATATTAAGAATGGGTGCTCAAGTAATATATTTGTAAGAAATATTAGCTTTTTTATATAAATAATAGTTCATGACTTCAAAAGTAATCGGTGCTTGAGCACCCATAACCATCAACATGCATCCGCCAGCGAGTAGTTTGTGTTTGGATAATTAATTTTAAAAGCATTTCTGAGCAGCAATTAGTGTTTGGCCAAACTTTTAAAAACTGTTTCTAAGTATATTTTTCTCCAAAATTGCTTCTGCTTCTCCTCAAAAGCATTTTTTTCTGCCAAAAACTTGACCAGAAACTTCAACTTTAAAAGAAAAAACACTTTTTTTGGAGAAAAAAGAAGTGCTTCTAGGATTGAAGAAGCTTGGCCAAACAGGCTATATATATATATATATATATATATATATATATATACTTCTTACTTATATGTATCGCTAAATACTTATCCTTTGGAACTTATAGCATGTTCGGTGAGAAGCAGTTAATGATTAAGTAACACAATTTAATACTATAAACACATGTCATATAATAAAGATGATTTGATTTAAATGCTATGCAAATAAATTCTTTTATGTACTTCTAATGTTGCACGGCATTATCAACAGTGAGTGCAATGAATATTCCCTGTCCAACAGGTTAACGAATTTAAAATTTATGGGTTTTTTATTTGTTATGGAATTTATAAATTGTCTCAGGTTTTGTAACCTACAACTAATCACGTTCGTGGTAAAAATATGAAAAAAAAGGAAATAGGATTATTTCTTCGTTGTCATCACATTTCACGCTTTCAATACGATTGGCAGACAAAAGCCATCAATTAAATTGAATGAGAACTTTTGTAGTCCTATAATATTAATATTCGAAAGAGTACGCCTCCCACCCTATTTTATAGTGTCACCAAATCCTATATATTAGAATTCAGTACTTAAGAAGGACCATGTTTACAGTGCAATTTGTGTCCAAGAAAATTCTGAAATATTATGTTTATGAAAGAAAAAGAAAAAAAAAAAGGGGGGGGGGGGGGGTTCGATTATTCAGTTAATGAGGTAATGGCAAAACCCTAGGTTTGGAACACATGTGATGTTGGGTTGTTCTTTAAAAGAAAACTAAATTAAATTGACAAGAAGATAAAATTTCTTTAATTTTTTCCTCTCTTTTTTATTTTATTCTCTTCAAATCGAATGCAGAAATATTAAAAAGGAAAGAAACCCATTAATGTTTCAAATCGAATGCAGAAACATTAAAAAAGAAAGAAAACCGAACAAGCAAGCAAAAGGCAGCAATGCCCTATTTTAGAACTTAATTTCCTCATTTTCGTTTTTAGATCTCTTCGGTTTTTGTTGTGTGGGTTAATTATTTTTCTAATATGTGTTGGAACTTGGAACCTACCTATTTCTCTCTGAAAAGGGTATATATATTTTGAGGTAAAAATTATCCCAACACGGTGTTTATACCAAACCATTAACTGATAAGTAGGGGTGTTTAAACCGAATTAAAAAACCATATCAAATCGAAAAGTCAAACTAAACCAATTAAAAAATCCGACTATGTTTGGTTTGGTACTGAGTAAAAAAAACCGAACCAAACCGACATATAAATATATCTTTTTTCATATATACTTTAAGATTTTATATAGAATTTTGCTTTAAAAGTGTATAGAAATATTTAGGATCCTCCCATGGGATGTAATATTTAATAGAACTATAAAGTGCATTTATTTTTATTTACTTTAAATAATGAGATGTATCACTTATTAAGTGTTATTGAAATGTGTATCATCTCTTTATTATTTCATATTCATATGTCAAGATTTCTTATATCTTTTTCGAATTTGAAGTGGTATTTCGATAATTTAAAATTACATAGAAAATATCATTATTTAGGTCATATATTGATTTTTATGTTTAAATATTAAATTCGGTTAACCTTGAAAGCGTACAAGTTACAACAAAGAAATATTATTGTTAG